CCCCCCCCTCGCCAACCCCAACCCGCAGGTGACGGGGGAAGGGGGTCACCCGGGGGGGAGTCACGGGAGCAGCAGGGACTGGTACCCACACCCCTCAGTGGGGGGGAGGGGACACGGTGGGGAGGGGAGGGCAGTGGGGGGCCCCGGGGGGTGTCCCCGAGCCGGGTCCACCCCCAGCCCTGCCTTTCCCAGCGCCGAGTTCGCCGTGAGCAAGCTGAAGGCGGCCGGGAGCCCCCCGGGGCTGTACCTGCTGCGCCGCAGCCCCCAGGACTTCGACAGTTACCTGCTGACCGTCTGCGTCCAGGTAAGACCCCCCCTCCCTGCACCGGGGGCTCCGGGAGTCCGGGATCGTGGGGGTTCCATCACCGGGAGAGAGGGAAACACCGACCTGGTGCCTGCTGGGACGGTGCCACTTGCAGTGGGATGGGCACAGCCTGGGGGCTGCCACGGGCACCAGCAGGGCAGGAGGGGTCTGGGGGGCTCCGGGGGGGGTCCCCACGCTGCTGATCCCGACTGATCCCCCCACAGACCCGCTCCGGGCAGGACTACAGGCGGTGCCAGATCCGCAGGGACGAGGAGGGACACTTCTGGCTGTCGGGGGTGTCGCGGAGGTTCTGCAGCCTGCAGGAGCTGCTGGGCACCTACGGGCACTGGGGGCTGCAGGCAGAGGGGGCTCGGATGCACCTGGGGGCCTGCTGCCCGCCCCGCCCCAAAGGTGACATGGGGGACGTCACAGAGAGGGTGCTGTGAGGTCACAGAACGGCTGTGATGTCAGAGGGGAGCTGTGTGGCGTCACAGAACGGGTCGTGTGAGGTCACAGATTGGGCTGTGACATCACAGAGCGGGCTGGGAGGTCAAAGGGCGACCTATGACATCATAGAGGGGACGGTGTGACAGCACACAGCTGCTGTGAGACACCGAAAAGTGAGTTGTGTGAGGTCACAGAGCAGGCTGTGACGTCATAGAGGGGCTGTGTGACATCACAGGGTAGGCAGTGCCGTAGAGCTGCTGTGTGACATCACAGAGCAGGCTGAGTGACATCACAGAGCAGTCTATGAGGTCACAGGATGGACCATGACATCACAGTGGGGTGTGTGTGACCTTACAGCTGCTGTGTGATGTCACGGAGCAGCCGTGTGATGTCACAGAGCAGCTGTGTGACATCACAGAGCAGCTGTGTGAGGTCACCAGGCGGGTGCCCCCTGCCCTGCCCCCCCCTCACAGCCTGTCCCCCCCCCCCCCCCCGCGCACCCCCCCCTGCTGATCGTTCGGAGGGGGGCCCCCCCCCCCCCCCCCGGCCCCCCCCCGGCCCCCCGGCGCCGCAGCCTCCACCAGATGATGTTCCACAAGATCGACCCCCAGAGCCTCACACGGGTACGGGGGGGCCCAGGGTGGTGGGTCGGGGAGGGGGGGCACAGGGACAGGGACCCCCCGGGACCATCCCCCTGTCCCTGCAGGGCGAGAGCCTCGGCCAGGGCTCCTTCACCCAGATCTACAAGGGCGTCAAGCGGGACCAGGAGGAGGAGGAGGAGGAGGAGGGGGACGGGCCCCGCCAGACCACCGTGGTGCTCAAGGTCATGGACAGCAGCCACCGCAACTGCTCCGAGGTGAGGGGGTGGCACGGCCCCCCCCGAGGTGGCACCAGGGCATGGGGGGGGTCCCCAGGAACCCTCCCCCTGAGCCGCCTGTCCCGCTCCCAGTCCTTCCTGGAGGCAGCCAGCACCATGAGCCAGCTCTCCCACAAGCACCTGGTCCTGCTGCACGGCGTCAGCCTGGGGAAGGACAGTGAGTGCCCGGGGGGGAGCACGGGGAGTGCCCAGCCCTGCCGTGCCCCGAGTGACCCCCCCTGCACCTCCCCCCAGGCGTGATGGTGCAGGAGTTTGTCCGGCACGGCCCCCTGGACCTCTACCTGCGCAAGAAACAGGGCGAGGGCTCGGTGACCACCAGCTGGAAGCTGACGGTGGCCAAGCAGTTGGCCTATGCCCTCAACTACCTGGTGAGCGGCTCCGAGTGCCCGTGTCCCATGGTCCGTGTGTCCTGCCGTTCTCCTGCGCCCTCATCCCATGGATTCCAGGCATCCACGTCCTCTGGGTCTGGCGCACCCACATCCTGCAGCAGCTGGGCATCCCTGGCACACATCCCACACACATCCACAGCTCCCAGGCATCCGTGTCCCACAGCTCCCATGTATCCATATCCCACAGTTCCCACGTATCCATATTCTATAGCCCCCATACATCCCTGTCCCATGATTCCCATGCATCCATATCCCACAGCTCCCACACATCCCTGTCCCATGACTCCCATGCATCCATACCCCACAGCTCCCATACATCCATGTCCCATGGATCCCATGCATCCATATCCCACAGCTCACACACATCCCTGTCCCATGGATCCCCTCTATCCATACCCCACAGCATCCATGCATCCACATCCCGTGGCTCCCACACATCCCCATTGATTCCCCCTCGTGGGTGGGGCCACACTGAGGGTCCTGGTCCCTCTTCCCCCCCCTCCAGGAGGACAAGAAGATCACCCACGGGAACGTCTCTGCCAAGAAGGTGCTGCTGGC